GCAAAAAAAAAAAGAAAGAAAAAAAGCCACATTTATCGATGAATACTCCCATTTGTTGTTGAACTACCAAATCAACATTAAAATATTACAAATAAATATATCCCCAAGCAATTCTTTATAGGGTTAATTGCAGATAAAACCCTCACCTTTTGTTAAATTGCAGATAAAACTCCACTTTTTAAGTTTGACAAAAAAAATCCTAACATTTCCTAAGCATTGCATATTTGTCTCCAAATAGTTTTCCGGCCAACAAAAGCTGACATGGCGAACTGGAAAAATGACATGGCACCGGACTTGATTGCGTGGCACTCTTATTATAAAAATCAGCTCCACGTCATCAGCCACCTCATTGACACGTCACCTAATCAATTCATCCCAGCCCCATTTTCTTCATCCCAACCCTCATCAATTCATCCCCTTTTCTTCTCCCGCAGAGAAGAGAAAAAAAAAAGTTCCAGTTTTTCATCCTTTCGATTTCTTCTCCAGCCAGTCCTAAAATTGATTTCGCCGCAGCCAAGCCCCATCGCAGTGGTGCAACAGAACCCGTTTCGTAGCCAAGCCCGATCGCCGTTCGAGTTGTGCCAAGCCCGTTCGAGTGGTGCAACAGAACCGTAAATGGAAAACGGGTATTTTTGCTTCATCTTCTTCTCATTTTTTTTTTACTTCATTTTGCGAACAAAATCGAGGCTGGGGCTGCCCATTTTCACAAATCGAACCTTCAGGAAAGGAGCAGGTGAGGTTGAATTTTCTTGCCGGAGAGGTCGAATTTGATGATTTCCACAAATCGTTGTCGGAGAGGTCGAATTTCCACAAATTGTTGTCGAGAGGTCGAATTTTTAGAAATCGGCCTTCTTTCTTTTTCTTCTTCTCATTCTCTCTATTTTGGCCGGATACATCGAATCTCCTTGTGAAGTTGCCGGAGGTCGAAGCTACAAGGGGATTTTTTTTAGGAACTTTTTTTTTTCTTCAGAATTACGGAAGGGAGGAAAATGTGAAATGGGAAAGAATGGAGGTAAAGAATTTGATATGGGAAATGTGAAAATTTGTGTTTTGAGAAAATAAAAAATTATAAAATGAAAAATTGAATTGGGGGTAAATTATCATACATGGAGACACGTAATCAAGTCTGGCGCCATGTCATTTTTCCGGTTCGCCATGTCAGCTTTTGTTGGCCGAAAAACCATTTGGAGACAAATATGCAATACTTAGAAAAGGTTAGGTTTTTTTGCCAAACTTAAGAAGTGGAGTTTTATCTGCAATTTAACAAAAGGTGAGGTTTTATCTGCAATTAACCCTTCTTTATACTATTCCAAGTCATAATCTCCAAATAGGGTTTTTGATACTCAAGAGGGCATTTTATAGAAAAGTTAATAAATTTGAGCTTTGTGGTAATTAAGGAACCATCTCGAATTAGCTTTTGTAATTATGCCTTAGAATTAGGATTAAGACATACAATAACGTCTCAACAGCCAATTAATATCTTTACCTGCATAAAATTATCCTTGCATCCATCAGTTTTGGCTCCACATGCTATAATAACTAAGATTTCATAAACATAAACCCCTCAATTAAATTGACATATAACACAATAGTTTAGCTGTCAAGAGCTTCAGCCTTTTTACTAATGTCGGTAGACTAAATAACCGGAGTGGCATACTTTGGGAGAATATCATGGTGTTGCCTTTTCTCCCGAAGAGAAGCTTTAGATTCCACGCATTTGTTAAGGACATGAACAGAGTGAATCACAGATGACTTAAAGATTACATAGAATACCACCACATATTGGTTTATGGTAACTGCAAAATGCAGTCAACGGGAGGAGAGGCAAAAATATCACCACATATTGCAGCCGTCAGCATTCCTCCTCTAGAAAATCCAGTATGAGCCAGCTCATGGCCACTTTCTCCTCATGCATGTTTGCAAACCATGATCAGGTTCAGTGAACTCACCATTTGATAAGTAAACTCACCATTTTTACGTACACAATCACATCATTCATATGGAGACAGAAAATAGCGTATATTTATGCACGCTCACCATGTTCGACGACGATCTGCCAAAAAAACAAAAACAAAAAAAAATAGAAAAACAAAGCAGACAGTTTTGGTTTTGTTGCTTGAAGTTCCTAAGTGTATGATGGTTTACAATTTACAGCAACTTGTTAAATGTGCATGGTCTTTTCTTGAACAGTGTAGTATAGTTGAATATATGGTTTCGATTTGCAAGACTGTTCACAAGATTTTAAATCTAAGGGAGCTCCAAGTGAGGCTATAACAATTCTCATGGTCACCCTTATGAAAATAAACTTTCATCTAATTTCATGGCACAAATAGCATAAACATTTAATGGTTATTTGGTAACTATTGATCTGCATTTAAAAAATGAAAACAGAATACTGAACAAAAGCTCCATCTATAAACAAATGAATTGATTGCCATGAGATCGTTAAGCATATGAGATCTAATTTTTAGAAAAATATTTGCTTTCTCTTCAAGTGAGTGAGAGTTGTAAGCAAAAATATAACATATAAATAGAACATAGTTCAACTCAAAGGCATAGTTCCTTGACGTTTGCAAAAAGGTAGAGATCTGGTGAACAAAACTACTCCCTCTGCAAATTAGTTTCTCATTAGCCAGAAAGGAACAACATAAGCACGATTACACACATAAGTTAATAGATACACGAAGTTATACACCCAGGATAAGTCCACCTTTAACTTTGTTGAGGCCAGCAATTTAAACTCAGCCTATTAGCGAATATTTATAGATTCAAAATAAATACACAAGTCACCAAAGAAGCAAAAAGCAACAAACCTTTGGTTCCATAATACATAGGGTCGCCATACAACCCTAAGCAGAACCAACATTAATGAGCACACCAGGTCTTCTGGCATTCTGCATAAAATTTTCCCGTTTTGCATAAGAAAATCATATAATTGTCAAAGAATCAATGAAAAAACAACAAATTGAACATCTAACCCTGAATCCCGAGCCACAAACCTAAATAAACAATTTAAAATCCTTTGAATAATCTTGAGGAACAAAAAATATATAGAAATCTATACACAAGCAAACTAATTAAACTATGAATTTAACAGAAATGGAACATGGTCAAGTGTTGGGAGTAAATAAAATTCCGAGACATGTACGTCTTTAGAAGGATATCCATCAATGGTCTCTCTTGCATTTACTGCTTCGAGCTTCATCTATAAAAACTGCAACGAATGACGATTGTGATTAGTACATTTTCACGTACAAACAAACACATTCACACACAAAAAACATATAGTGAGAATGAGAGACCTCAACTTGGCGCTGTAAAGATTGAATATAATTAATAATTTCATCCAGCACAAGAGCTTTGCCGATAATCTGGCAAAAATATGAAAGAACAAACTAAGACTTGCGCTAAATATTTCCTCGTAAAATGGCAAAGTAAATGACAAATCGACTATAATGAATTGAGGGAACTTAAACCATATATACAAGTTGATCAATTCTAAAAAAAATGAAATTATATTGACTCGAGGAGAATGAAAATCCAAGAAATAAAATGTTTGCTTCTCACTTTATTACAACCAGGAACTAAATCTTGGAGAATCTTCATCCTTTCACTGATGTTTTCTCTATGGGCCTGTAAGAAAAGTTGATGAATTGAACAAAACATAAGAACGAAAAAGAAATCGTATAGGAAGTTCAGTCCGGTTATCATTATCCATCTATTTTACAGCTAATAATAGTAGCTCAAAAGATTTATTAAAAGATAATTTCGGTCTCGTAATTACTCTTTCGGCTAAGTTGTGGCTATTGGTAGCCTGACCTCTTCTGGCCCGAACATGAATATAGTCTTGCTTAGGTTGTTCAGGTGGCTTTGAAGGTTTCTTGGTACCCTTGTCTGAATCTTTCTCATTTTCTATATTGTTTTTGCTCGACTTCGCACCTGGTAGCAACACTACGATGGTTTCAGAGAGAAGAGAGCTCAGAATGAAATCAAATCAACGAAAACCCTAATCAGACAACAACTACACATCTCACAATATCAAGGCTCTATAAGATAGAACTTTAATTGAAAAAAAAATAAGTAATTAAAGAATTCATTACAGCACTACAGATTACCTTTACGGCACTACAGCCGCCATGGAGTGAGTACGACATGGATTTGTACGGAAACCCGACGGCTGCTAATTTTGGAAGAGAAACACGACAGGCAAACCCCGGAGGTACCTCAAGTTACACCAGCAACCGAAGGCCTCAAACCCCGAACAGAGAATGGAAAAACGAAGACAGACAAAAACGCTATTAGTTCGATAATTTAATCAATTGTAGAGAAGATAGCCCGACAAACCCAAAAAAAAAAAAAAAAATAAAAAACTCCCAAAATACCCAACCTATTACACAGACAACACTCTGACGTACGGCCGAATGAGGTAGAGAACGATGGTTGCAGAGAGCTCATCTCCTGCACAAGTTAGAATCCCGCAATCAATCTAACAAAATCGAAAGCGAAAATCAAGCAGTTGAGCGTTTTCACACGGAGTCGTAATTTGAAATTGAAAAGACCCAAACAAACAATATTTCAGAGAAAAATGTACCAAAAAATTTAGGAAAATGACTAAAAATGAGGTCACGCGTCAGCACCATATGCACCCTCACCCCAGATCATCTCTTAAATAGTCTAGCTCGATTTCAAACCTACCTCCATTTTGGTCGATCTGAACAACGCCGACCGATCTACAGTAGAATTGGGTGTAGAGAAGGGGAATTATTTTTTGCTGGGAGAGGGTTTTCCAAACTGATTTTTGGGAAATGAGAAGAATTGGGTTGATTGTTGCGTGGTGAGAGGAAGCCTACTTCACTGAGCAAAAAACATTGTGGGAATTAGCTCAAATAACCCATTCTACAAACTTATTTGTTTAAATGACCCTCTAGTCAAACACTCATTTAAAATTTATTAAGTAATGATATTAAATATAAACTTACTATTATACCCTCTAGTCAAACACTCTTTTCTTTTCTTTCTATTTTCTTCTTCTTCCTTCTCCCTCATTTTTTTCCCGCTGTTTCGTCTCTCTCTCTCGACGGCTCTCTCTGTTCTCTCTCTCTCTCGCAACAAACCTGCTCTCTCGACCTTCCTTCTCGCACCGGTCACTATGGAACTATCTCTTGATGTCAATTCTGGTACGAATTTTTGTTTAGGGTACATTTTTTTTCCAGCTTTTGTATTTTTTTTTTTT